ACAACAAAAATAAAGTATGACAATATCAACCACATAAAACGAAAATATGACGCGAGCTATTTTTACACCCAATCAAAATACGCGTCTTCTCAGAAATGAAGACATGATTTTTAAATATTAATAGAGAAGTAGCTACTACAATATTGTGTTATTTTGTATTGGTACCTGAGAGTATTGTTCGGTTGTGTGGCGGGTTAATTTGACCGGTTTTGAAATGCAAATCAACCGGATGAAATATGCGTTCGTGTTTGTTTGTTTGTTCGTTCGTTCGTTCGTTTGTTCGTTCTTAGATTCATCTTGCCTCCTTATTGTAACATATTTTTAAATCCTCCCTTTTTATTCAGAATTCGACAAAAATTCTTAATATTTTAGGGAAGCATAGTTATTATGATAGTTTTTATCATATCTGTCAGACGGGAAATTATGTCAATTCCTGAAGATAATATTTACGAAAAACGACGCAAATGTTACAAAAAGGAAAATCGAGGTGTAAACGCTCAATTTTTAAGCTTTTTGCTTGGGACCCAGCAAGGGTGGACGGCAGAAACGATCCTTATCGATTCTGTCATACCCTTGACGATCCACCACAAGTAGTTTCAGAGTTATGAAGTGAAAATGTTCGCAGTAGAGTTGTTATACCTGAACAAGGCTTGGTACTCTAAAAATCACCATTTTTTTGCTGTGAAAAAAAACTTGCATTGTAAACTTTGGTAAAATCGTTGCTTTTCATCCAAATCGCTTTATATTTGGCAGGGTGCTGCATGCAGCAGTAAAGAAGTTCTGTACAAAGTTTCAACATTTTACCACAAATCGTTTATTTTTAATTAATTTTTTTCTTATAAAAACACATGTTACAAAAAGGAAATCTTCCTTTTTGTAACAAAAAATCTCCTTTTCGTAACATGAAAAAAAATTATTTCTTTATTGTCGAATTACAAAGCCAGTTTTTGTGTCACATAAGTTCCTAGCAAATTCGGAGAAAGGAAAAATACTGTAACTGCAGTTGGATTTTGTTTATTTTACGGATAAAGAAAGATTTTGGTTTGTGGTCTTTTTTGAACTTAAGGTAAGTTAACTAAACTATTAGACTGTTTAAATGAAGACAATAGTACTATATGAACATAACTCTTCAATAATTTTTTTTTCAGAAACGATGAAAATATTTTCCAATTTTTTTCAAATGCCACTTTTGGAGTGGAGTTCGGATTTTCGGTTGAACTGGTCAGTTTTCCGAGTAAAAGCCTGGAACGAGTCTCCATCTTGGCCTCCATTTTGTTCCTTTCTTAGATTTTAATATTGTCTTCTGACTTGTGCTTCGAAATATAAAAGAAAAGAAATGAAAACCAAAGATATTTGTGTGGATTATTTGATATATGGACGTTCTTGTTGCGTTTTATCGACTCCTTATCACGGTAAGTGAAGTATTTTTGAACAGATTTCGATTTTTGTAATGGAGTTGGGCTAGTAATACTAGCCTAGTATATTAAAACCACATCCTCGTTGTTCGGTTGTTGTAGTAATATCAAATAGCATGCTTAATATCACTTATATCTCGTATTTGGTAAATAATCTTTTGTGTACTGAGAGAAATAAACTGTAGTTTAGTAAATAACATCTTGCTGTAACTGCAAGTCTATGTAAATAAATATGGCTGAGTGCTTAAATATTAGGTGACTGTGCAAATTTAATACAGTACAGTACTGAGTAGGCAGTAGCTAGTATAAATAATGCACCTATCAATTTTAAGCCGGGGTGGGGGGGAGGTTGGACATATGTGGGGCATTTGATTTTTCATGCAATTTGTTGGTCAAATTCCCTACCATAGGGCATAGGGCAGCGAATATCAGTCAAATGTGATCAAATGCCCCACTGTTGGGCACAAAATATGGGTACTAAATGCTAATTTATTGTGTATGCTCAATTCAAATATCCCCATCCTAGGGAGAAAAATGTCGGTCAAATTCCCAAGGGAGGGGAAACAAAAATTGATCAAATGCCCCACAAATGCCTGACTTCCCCCCCTTCCTGGGGCTTAACATTGATAGGTGCATAAGTTTTATATCAACATACTTTATTGTCGATTTCAGGTAGCTTTTCAAAACAAAGTTCCGAAGTTCGTTACGAAAGTTCAGAAGTGCGTTACAAATGTTCGTAATTACATTTCCAAACTTCGTAATTGGGTGCGGTACTTAGGAAGCCAACTTTGAACTTGTCAGTTGTTTACGACTTGTTGGACGCGTTAGGTTTATTATGGCTGAGTTAGAAGGATTTCTTATACGTTTTACAGGTAAATAAGTTTTACTGTTTTTACAGTAAATTGTAGTTCTGCAATGTTGTAGATTTTTTAAGTGGCAGAAGTTAGAAAATTATTCGATGCATACAAGTACATTCATACATTCAGTTGTGCCGTTTTGCAATGAATATATATATTATTTTGGTAGCTTTGCAAAGTATTGTAATTTTTGTACTTACTATATTTTATCTTGGTATAAAACTAATTAAAAATATTGCTTTATTAGTGAGTATATATTTGTTTGTCCAAAAGCCAGAACCAGCTGACAATTTTAGGAAATAAAATATAAAACAAAAACCGAAAACATCTTGAAACCTATTTACTTATTTGTAAATAGGTTTATTTATTTATTTATTGGGTTGTTCCTGAAAAGATCCACACTCCCCCCACAGAGGAAATTTCTGATGTCCGGAGGGGGAGGGGAGAGAAAATTGTTTCTGATACTGTAATAGTAAATGTATTAGGACACCCAAAGGGGGTAGGGGGGTTAACTTCCAATTTCCTCTGTGGGGGTGGTATGTATGTTTTCTGGAATGACCCATTTGTAAATAGGTTTTTTTTTATTTTTTACTTATTTGTAAATCAGTTGGTCTGATGTTGATTCTGAAATAGGATCGAAATATAACCATTTATCTTAAATCTTGTGTTAGTCCATATCTTGGGTTCAAGATGTTTTCATTTTTCGGTTTTTGTTTTATATTTTATATTCGTTTGTATATTATAGTTTATATAAATTTTGTTATTCTTGTGGCACGTTTATATGATTTCAATTCACATATGATTTCAATTCACATATGATTTCAATTCACATATGATTTCAATTCACATATTTGTTCATACTGTACATGATCTATTCTAAAACTACAACTTTGAACTTGTTAGTTGTTTCTAATATTAGCGAGTCGCTTGTTTTACAACTTGCTGGACGCATTGCGTTTATTATGGCTAAGTTAGAATTGTAGGTTTAGAATAGATCATGTTTGGACAAATATGTGAATTGTAATCATATACTGTAAACGTGGCACAAAAATAACAAAATTGATATAAACTATAATGTACTAAAGAAATATTTGTTCGTTTTTCTTTTAGAATTGCATAAAAAAGTGGTTGCAGGTATTCAGATCCTGGAATGTTGTGAAATGGCCCTGCTGGGACATTTTATTGGGTGAACATCGAATGGTGTGTGTAGTGAAATGAAATTTCGATTCAATGTGACTGATAGAATTGAAATGGTGTGGATACTGATGATTCTAGTGAATTATGTTATAATGATGCATGGACTGTGATGATGTTGGTGAAGCTTGATTTATATCTAGCTACTGAAGATATGTAATGGTCACTAAATGAATATTTATCATGTTGTTTTCATATAATTTTTACTTTTGTGCAGGGGCATCATGGCTACAAAATATTAGCTCGGGTTATGTTTCTCCAACAATAATGCAGTTCCAACACTGCCGAGCATCAGGGGAGACATGTGGGCAGATAGGCCAGTTAACTCATTAATTTAAGCACTGGCACTCTCCCTTTGATGAGTAAAATTGTCTGGTGTTAGACAGAGTAAAATAATAAAGTAGGGCAAAACAGGGCACAATGCAACTGATTGGGTTAAACTTGTTGCCAACTAAGTATTTCTAGATCAGCAGTGCTAACAGGAAGAATTGAACCATGCATTAGGGCCTGTTCATATGGGCAAAGGTTTTCCCGGTTAGTGGGAAAACATTTCGACTAGCCAAATAATATTGTTCTGTTCATATGGAGAAAGGTTATCCCGCTTACGGGAAAAAGTTTCCGGCTGTGACGTAGCACTGAACATCAATTGAATTGAAATGTTGCTGACACGCCAGAAAATTATCCCGCTAAGGGGAAAGTTGTGTTCATATGGGAAAAACAATTTCCCGGTCACCGAGATCTTGCCTGTCAACAAGCGAGATCTCGGTGACCGAGGGAAACTTTTCGTCTCATATGAACGCAGTGTAACTTTTCATATTATTTACATAACAAGGCAAGATCTCGCTTGTAAACTTGTCGAAAAGTTTTCCCGCCAACCGGGGAAACTTTTGCCCATATGAACAGGCCCTTAGATATGGGATAAAATTATCTGTCATTAACCCTTTAAGTGACAATGCGCCAGGATGCGCCCTACTTTATTCTTTTACTCTATCTAATGCCAGATGATTTTACCAGGGTTTGTACAAAACTTGAATGTCCTTGAATTTGAAACCAAAAATTCAAGGCCTTTGATGTCCTTGAATTTGTAAAGAAGTACTTGAAAGTCCTTGAATTTTTCTTGCTTTAGTTTTTGGATATTTTCTGAAATTGTTTGACATTCAGAATGGACATTTTATTGAATTGATTTTGTATATTTATTTCTGACAAATCTGTTTGAAACTCATTAAAGTTGCATTTTGAACAATTCAATGTCAGATTGTACTGATTTCTAACCCCTTTTGTCAGTATTTAGTCCTTGGAATTGTTTATACATGGCCTTGAAAAGTCCTTGAATTTGACTCTTCTTATTATGTACGAACCCTGTTTTTCGTAATTGTCAGGGGGAGAGTGTTGCCACTCAATGGGATTAACTGAATAAGGAGGACATTGAATTTGTTGCTGCAATAAAACTGAACTTTTATTTGAGACAAATTAATACACTTAAAGTACAAGAATGTAAATCATTTTATGTAAATACAAATTAAAATTCTTGATTTTGTAGTTCACATTAAAGTAGTATTTTCACAGTGCTTAGTAATGAGACCACTGTTACCAGAGTGGTGGTTAATTTACAGTGTAATTGAACACTGTGATGACTGAAAATGTCTGGTGTGCTATGCTTGGATTATGTTTAGCACACAACAGTACTACAGTATCTGGTGGTATTATGGTCTCCCTTGATTGGGCCGGCCTTTGTTTTATTTTCAAAGTACCAGATCATGTTTACTGTTCAATTCATGAATATATATATAGGTGGTATTCATATTTATTTGGACTGGTATCATAACCCATTCCAGTATTTGACAGACCACTATCCGGTAAACCTGTGAAGTATGGTAGTATCTGGTACAACCCCACTACAGCAACTAGTAAGCATGACTATAATAAGTAGTATCCGGCACAACCAGCGCAAAAATTTAGCCCCCACCAAAAACAGCAGGGCTAAAAATAGAGATTATAAATAACACTAGAGGGGGCATCGGGGGAAAATTGGGAACGCAGCTAATCATAGATATAGGCAGCTAATGGGGGGCAAATTCAAGTCCCGGATGCAAATTACACAGTCTCCTGTATGGGTTCCTGCATCCAGGACTTGAATTTGCCCCCCATTAGCATGTTCCCTTTTTTTACTGAAATAAAGATTACGATGCCCCCTTTAGTATTATTTATAATCTCTATGGGACTAAAGCTATCCCAGATTCCCATGGCCCTGACAAAGATAATATGTTATTATAGATGAGTACTGTAATCTGATTGTTTGATACTCTGATTGAAACAACAATACTATGAAACTTGTACGTAACAAAAATCTTTTAAATTTCAACTTTAAAACCATTAACAATTTTAAAATTTTACATAATTAACCCACATACAACAAACTGTTAGGGCATAAAATTATGTTTACAGTATACTATCTATTAATCTAGACAGTATGAAGTGCTATGATCTCACTTAAAGGGGCCCTCTCAGTCTGCGATACTGTGTGCCAATCTGCTATATTGCTTGAATCAGTTGATAAATATGATATCGATTTTATATTTTGTGTGTACGGTAATGTTTATTGATCATGCCTTTAAATGTTAGAAGTGAAACATAAACAAGCCTGAAATAATTACCGTATTTTGCATTTATTATGTCGCTTTAAACACGATGATGTAAAGGTTGAGAGGGCCCCTTTTAATATCGATTAGGTGGCAATGAGGCCAAAATTGGCAATTACAGATAATTAACTATCCTACAAGTCAAAAATGTTTTTGACATATAACTGAACAAATTCACCACTTGTTTCTGGCAGTGCATCACTTGTTTCTGGTACTTCACCACTTGTTTCTGCCAATTCACCACTTGTTTCTGACCAGTACTTCACCACTCATTTGTGGCATTTTAACACTTGTTTTGGACATTTTATTCTCCTCCATGTTATCCACCGCACCTACAAATAGAGAGAGTACATGTACAGTGAGTTACAGTATCTATATATGTAGAAGCATTTCTTTTTTTCATACAGCTTAAAATGTTATTCTCAAACTCATTAATAATTAATGAGCAAAAATACCAGTAAAAAACACGCTTTTCATCACGTACATCAGTTGTGAAACCACGGTAATAAAGCAAAAATTGAATTAAAAATTAAGAAGTTAGATAATAAACGATTTAAACAATAAAAAGCGTGCATTACAACATTTTTAAATTATAAATACAACCAGAACAATGAGAACTGTATTATTACAACAATTCTAAATTCGAAATGCAAAGTATGCACAGAAGCCATAAAGTAGGATGACATGTAATTAGGGAATTCCACAACATTAGACTATTGTCGACTGAGAAGTTATTTCGTAAACTTGTGGCTCGTGTTTTACCGAGGTTTCCAAACACTTGAGAATAACTGAATGCACAGAAAGGCTGGCTAAAACGAATCTCCTTCCACTAGAATTCCGCCGAGCGATCTCTGACTTGCAACTACTATACAAATCCAAAATGGGACTTATATCTATGGATGTCAATAAGTATTTGTGTACCTAGGAACCAGGGTATAAATCATTGCGTAATTACGACGAAAATAACTTCAATTTTCTCTTGATGCATAAACAAGACTACTTTAAAAAATTATATCTGTATAAGGCGGCGAATCTGTGGAATAGTCTTCCAGCTGATCTGAAATCGTACATCTCAATATCCTTATTTAGAAGCGCTCTAACATACAGGGTGTATCAAAATAAACGCTTAATATTCTAAAATTGTTATCGTCATTGTTAGCTTAGATGATATGGCTGTTAGCATTCGATTGTACGATTAGAAGTACTATTGTACATTGTGTTTAAGAACAATACGAATATTTTAGAATATTAAGTGTTGCGTTTTTTTTATACACCTTGTAGATATTACAAAGCAAAATTACCATTTTACTACCCGCCTGGCTCTGTTGATATATATAATTGTTAGTTTAGTAGATAATATTGCTTGCTTGTATTATATGTATGTAAATTGTGACGAATCATTAAAAGAAATTAAATGAAATTTTAATGTTGATGCAGTATAATTTTTGATTGGTTTGATATGTACTGAATCCAAACACCCTGATTGGACACCCTTTTTTCATTTTGTAAATTGAATACATTATTAAATAGCAACTTATCATACGTAAAAATATGGATGAAGTTAATAGTTAAAAGTCCACAGACTGGTAGCTCAAAATGAAATATTATTTATCAGAGAATGCCGTTTCCTCATTTTAATTAAACTTATTAAGGGGGCAGTACACCTTATACACCTTCTAAAATCAACTGTAGGCACTCAAGAAAGGTTTACCACTCAAAAGAGTACTGTTTCGGCTAAACGAGATTATATTTGCCATTTCATTTGGTCTTTCTCTCTTTGTTTTTGGATGATTTGAAAGAAAACTGGAATATTTTTGCGGTTTAATGAATCAAAAGACTGGTAACGAGATTAAGGTCTGGTTACTCAGCAATAGGCTATTTCCTAATTAAACGTAGTTCGCAAATAATTACGGTAGTGTGGTAACAGTTGTGTTGTCTTCCGGTTAGGGCTATTTCAGATCCGTCAGAGCACTTAGTCACCAGGCTTTTTCTGAGACGGCCACAAAATGCAATATGGAGCCTGACAAGGAGTGGAAGTAGTATACTGTTGTTGTTTCTTCTTCACTCTTCGAAATATTTTTATTGTTATAAATACAAGAGATGACAGGAAAACCATACATGTATTTCTTATTCTTAGCTGGAAAAAGACTTTGCCACAGATAAGAATTTCTTAATCATAGTTTTTCTTTGTAATAGTTATTTAAAAAAATATAGTGTAAGTAATAGTGTAACAGTTAATTTTATTTACATTCAATAATCTACAGCAAGCATCATTGCTCCAACACAGATGACAAAATTTAGAAACGTTATAGAACATAATTGCTCTACGGTGAAGTTGTATATGACTAACGTAATGTATCTATCAATTCGAAACATTATCATACCCCTCCCCCCGGGCATACCCCACTGAATTTGAATTTCGAAAATCTGATTGTTCATATTCCGCACCCCCTGGCAAAAATGTATCCAAGTATCTAAAACAGAAAAATTGAAGGCCAAATCCCAACCCCCTGCAAAGGAAATTTTCATGAAACCGTCAATAAAGAACGAAAAAATGCTAAAAACACACAAGAGTTGTCAATGAAGTGGCTAAAGTAGTTGCCAATCTTTTCTCAAGTATTAACATAAACAAATTTCGCAAGCCATGACACGAATTTTATCCTTAACATTTCAAATTTATAAAGTAATCAATATTTCAAAATGATCACAAGTTTGAGAGAGCTGACTGGCAAAAATATGCAAATTCGTGATCTAAATTCAAATTCCCCACCCTTGTCAAATTCCCCCGCCCGAAAGAAGATTCAGAACGTCAAATTCCCTACTCCCAGGAGACACCTTTAAGCTTTGATAGATACATAAGTCCATCACCATATTATATATACAAGAACTTGTGATTAATTCTCAGTAACTGGTCTCTGCAGTGGCGTGGTGGCTGGGGTCAAGATTGTAAAGTTTCTTTTATGCGCGGGGAACGCTTTGTCCTTGCCTTTGTAATAGGCCTATGATGTTATATGGGTGACAAAGATCTGCGCAGGGAACGCCTTCCCCGCGTGGACCAAACTTTACAGTTTGGGCTGGGGGGCTATGCCCCCAGCGATGGTTTCAAGGGGGTACCGAGATGCAGTTGGGGTGGCTACACTAGCATATTTTGCTGATGCAAAAATAAAATAGAATATCAATTAATATGTCTGATTTATTAAATACAAATCCGGCGAGACCCTGTTCTGGTATGGTCACGTGACATCCCAGATTCTGGGATGTAGCGTAATTTGTCGTCAGGGTGGGTACGTGGGGCAGAGTTATTAACTACAATAATTTATAAAAATAATAGAACGTGTCAATTTAGTTTATACTGTATCGCATTTGACAGTTCTCCAAGTTCTATATTTGAAATAAACGAACACTCCGAAAAACGTTTTATATACATACATGGTTCACGGCATTTAGACCAGTGACTTAGACTCTCGGTGTCGTCTGTTTCAGAATATATGTGATCTGATCGCAGTGATATTAATAATATAAACCGTGATTTCAAGCGTTCTTCTTATACAGCACATATCAGATTTGTCAAAATTAAATGGATACATTTTCGTGTATTTGCTAAAAAAGCTTATCAACTATGAGCTCCCACCTTTATATAAATTGAAAATATGCAGTGCAACGGTACGTGTTTATATATTTTGGCGCGATGTTTACTGTTTACTTTTGTGTATATTACAGTGATTGTTCGCATACTATATAATTTTAGTGCACGCGTCTCAATTCATGTAGATTTTTGACAAATTTGCATTGATTCTGTCATAATGTCATTGATTCAAAATATTTACATGTTCGTTGTGACTTTTGTTATAATGTTATATGTGCTCGCTCTATTGCCTTCATATATGAAACTCAATAATTCATGAAAACACAGAATCATGCTGATTTACATAAACTTTAAGTTCAATTTTCTCACCAAATATTGTTCATTTATTTTAAATGGTTGAAGAATACGAATGTTTTCACGATCGTCAAGACTGATATACTACTGATATACAACATTCGCGTCGGTGTTGCACTAGCTGTTGTATCGACATAAAACCTCTCGCCTTCGATTCGAGTTTGTATATCATAGTTACCACTAAGATATTCTCCCCTATGTCTCTCATAAAATATTATACATGACTGTACACATGTTTTTTTTTATGACCCGATACCAAAGCATTGACAAAGCACAACGTCATGTTTGCATATAGCGCAAGAAAATTAATCTACTGTCAATGATGCACATGTACGTAGCTACTTTGCGAGTTGGATCTCTTTATTGTAAAAGATGAAACCGTATAATTTTTTAATGGTTTTTAGAGGGCCAAGATAAAGTGTTTAGAACGATTCTTCACTTTAGTGATAATTTATATTGCAAAATTTATTATGGCTACAACAACTGTTTAGCACAACTCGGTTTGACACACAGCTAAAATTTTAAAATTGTGCTTTTATAGGAACTTTCAAAATCATTCACGAGATAGATTTCTGTCGTTTATCTACTCTTTCAGTTACCTGACTTTATTTCAGTTCGACAGACTTTATAGTTTACGTGATAAATATGGTTTAAAATATCACTTGTTCTAATGGTTACGTTTGCTATTTTTAGTTCATAAGTGCTCAATCGTCTCACCCCTACTGAGTATAGCACGTGGTCATGACTCACGTGATCACACCATCCCAGGGTCTATTAGAGGGTGTCTTAATCAATTTCTTCATTTAAAGGGAGTGGCAGCTTATTAGAGAAGAGGGCTTATAGATAGATAGATAGAAAACTTTATTTCAACACGCTGACCTCGTCAACCGTAGCTGATTTCCACGAGGGGCGTGTATATTAGAAGTATACAGTATATAAAAATATCTAAAAGCTATTTACAAAATATAAGATATAGTATAAAAATATTATATAAAGTATTGGTCATTGTCAAAAACGTCGGCCAATTTAGCTTATTTGAGAGGGTGGGCTTAATAAAGAGATTATATATAATCATGGTAATTACTAACATATTATATGAGATTACAGCCTTAGGGCCCAGAGCAATATTTGGACAGGTTGGTATATACCCACACTAAGACTCCTACAAAACTAATACAAACTTTAAGGTTGTTGGCCCTAATACAAAGATGGTAAGAATGGTCTCTATTGTAGAGTGGATATTAGCAATTAAAGGAATGTAAACTGTGCAGTTAAAAGAACCTATTGGTTCATATCCATAGATGGAATTTCCGGGAGTAGTGCATGTTGGTATTTTAATGGCATTTTATAGTACCTAGCCCCCATCTCCCATCCACACATGTGAACATTATTTCAATAATGGATCATTTAAAGCAAATGAACTAGGTATTTAAACTAATGACATTCCAACTTGAGTATTAAAAAGTACAGAACGCAATATCATTACTTGAACAACTATTGTTCAGTAGTTGTATATACTATAAACTATACTGTACATTAATATTATATTATAGTTAGAAAACGCCTGGTGACGAGGTGCTCTGACGGATCTGAAATAGCCCTAAAGGACATGTTACATGGTGCAATTTTTCTTGCAACTTGCAATGCAATGGCAGGGACCGTTGCCTAAACCCTAATAACTCAAAAACTATTTGGACAATCTTGCTAATTTTTTCAGAGAAGATTCTCAAGACAATACTTAAAAAACAATGGATGCTTTTTTTCAATTTTTTACAACCTTAGCATTTTAGACAAATTTTACCACACAATGGTTGTCGTGGCAACATGTTTTCGAACTGTCAGAGCTATATGTACTCTAGTATACATAAAGATTAATTATACTTTAGTACAATCAAAATCCCATAAATCACGGATCGAATCAATAATAAAATATTTGCGACACTCACAGCCGGATAAATCTTCTTATACTAACCTGTAAGATTGACCCAAACTCAAAACGAATTTCCAGAAACCCAAAGTTCTATTGGAAAGCTCTGATTCCCATAAATTTCCACGGACAATTTATTCTGAATTCACAAATCTACAAGAACAAAATGTTCGTTTTGAAAACATTAAAGTTAAACTAAACACAAAGCCGGGCTTTATGACATAAAATGTACTTTACAGTAGAAACTATATAATACATATTGTATTTAACACCCTAATTTTTAATCATTAAAGACTTACAAAAACAGGAATTAGTAAACCCCCATCTGTTCAGAAAATCCACAAGCATTTGTATGATTCTCGGACAATATACATCCATCAAAGTTTGATACACAAACGCAAAGACACCGTTACAGCATTATAATAAAAAACCCATAAAAAACGCTGAGCTGTCAGCCCGATGGTATATTCAAACCCAACCAGCCACAACAATTCCTGAACACCCACATGGCCACTCACCAAAGCCATGCCGAATTTGCTGATACCATTT